CACTGCAAATGTCTTTACCAAAATAAAACATTCTCTCCTTTTATTTTCGTATAGAATAATATACATACTGACCTTGCATTGTTAGTTTTACCATAATATCTGCTGCAAAACATAGTGCATATACATGCAGGTAAACAAATACACACACTACTGAATTTTGTGTTGACAGCAGGACTGTGGAAACCCACGTCCTCTGGGCAGCAATCAGCTATGAAGGAACAGGAAAGCTAGTGTAATGATTAACTAGCCCAGTGGGCTATTATTCATGGTAGGTAGAGCAGCAGCAGAGCAGTCTGTGATGCTGCTCTCTTCTCTCCTTCTGGAATGCTGTTGGATCCCTGGAATCAAACTCAGCACAGAAAAAAAAATACAATAGCTACTCTAATGCCAACACAAGAAACTAGATGAATTTACCCTCCTGGACTTGGCATTTAAGGAAGAAACTTGCAAGAGGAAAGATATTCTGTTAAGCTTGATGTTGAATGAACATGACAAATATCACTGTTTATCAAATATGCACACAGTTTTTGGTAAAGCTAATAAGGTTATTGGTATCAGCTATAGGCAATTATTTTCTATACAGCGTGAAGTAAACAACTTTAATGGCAACTGGCAAGTATCAGTGTTGTTAAAAGCAGTCATGGTATAATACTGGATCAGATGGTTAAAGGGCATTCATCTAGTTGAAAGATGAAACCATCAGTATCCCTCTAGCCAATCAGGGGAAAAAATTCAGAATCAAAGCTGTTCCCCCTCCATTGGTGCCTTACCTTGCAGCCCTCCAGAAATTCTTTCAGAATTCTACTATTTCTTACAATTTCTTTTCAAGCAGTCCATTAAGGGTGAACATATCATACTACCCACTCTATTTCTCTCACTGATACCTCACTCAGCATTTTGCAGTGAAACAATACATTATCTCATGTTATCAGCTTTGGTAAAACAAATTCAGCCTTTTCTACCTATCGACGATGAAACTTCTTCAGCCATGGCAGAAAACAAAATCAAAGTTTGAGCTTCAGTTTTTATTTCCAACAAGAGCATTTACTGCTTATTAAGACCTTGAAAGAAAGTATTTAGCAAAAAAAAAAAAAGCAGCAAAATCTTTCTTTCAATAAATTCACTTTCCCCCTGAAAGGCTTTGCTGTGTATGGATTTTTCATTTACTTTAATTATTTTCAAGTGCCTCTGCTCAAATCAGTAGGAATTAAGTATCCACAACATCAATGTAGGTCCTAGTGCTAGATGTTATAAACAAAATGTTCTTCAGCGGCCTAAATCTGCTAAGTAGGAAGTCTTGAGAATTTGGGAAGTCCTTTTCCACAAGGAGTACTTCTGGGGACCCCATGACCTATGGAAATCACTTCTCAAAGGATATGTTATGGTACTTACACCACATAGACAGCTCATCTCTCTAATCACAAATGCATATGTAAATCCTTCCATCTTGTACAAGAACAAGAATGTTGCTAATATCTCAATGAAGCTAAATCTCACCACCAGTAAGTGGCTGATGCCAATCACAGCAACTGACAAGACATTTTCACCCATCACTGAATCATGGAAAATCTTGAATTGGAAGAGACACAAGGATCACTGAGTCCAACTCCTGGCCCTGCACAGCACCAGCCCAAATCCAAACTATGTCTGAGAGCAGTGTCCAAATGCTCCTTGAACTCCAGCACTTGGGACTATGCCCACTGCCCCGTACAGCCCGTTCCATGCCCACCGCCCTGTGGTGCAGACCCTGTCCCCAACCCCCATCTGCCCTCCCCAGACACAGCTCCATGCCGTTCCCTCGGGCCCTGTCGCTGTCACACAGAGCAGAGCTCAGCGCTGCCCTCCGCTCCCTGTGAGGAGCTGCAGCCGCCATCAGGCCTCCCCTCAGCTCCACTACTCTGAGCTGAGCACACCATAGGACGTCAGACACTCCCACACTCCTTGTCCTCCAGACCCGTCACCATCCTTGGAGCCCTCCTCCTTAGGGCACTCCCTTGTACTTTTATGTCCTTCTTATATGATGGTGCTCATAACACCACAGTGAGGTGAGGCTCCACCAATGCAGACCAGAGTGGGAAATACATGAGGATTTAGTCAGACACAGTAGCCAAACAACAAACTCAACTAGGCACGTAATCAAAAGCAAATTGTAATCTTTCATAATCTCTTTCTCTCACATGCAACCACACATACACTCAAACTGTAACAGGAATGCAAGAGTTTTTGTCCTTCGTTAAGTGTTTACAGCCCAGATATCCTTCTGGTTAATAAATACACATCATTAGTTCAACAAAAAGAAGAAAACAAGCTCTAAGTAAAAGCCCTTAGCAAACTTCAGATGGAAGAGCTTAGATGCATTTATGTGCAGACATTCACAGGAGGAAGAAGAGGAACTAAGGCTGAGGAAAATACACAGGATTCAACCATTATCTCATCATAAGTTGTGGACTTTGACTTGAACTAAGATTCCAAAAATAAACACAATTAACATTTAAATCCCAAGCTGTATTTTCAGTGGTACCCTTCCTCCTATGTTTATATGCAAGCTCAAAAACAAAACCCCAGCTAACATCTATAGCTTTGAGCAACTTCAGCCCTTAGTCCCAAGGAAGAGCTATCACCCAAACTTTCCACTGTATCCACAGGCTTCTGCTGTCACATTCTGAACTCAGAATACAGTAAAACTAAAGATGCAATAAAACTAAAACCAAAGAGAGAAGAAAGAGACAAAAATAAAGGTATGGAAGGTGTGATACAGGCATCTGGAAAACCAGGAAATATCACCTCTGGTAAATCTCATTTTTAAGTCTCCTCACTTTCACTATGCGTTCCTGTTTGTAGTGCACACTTTCACATAAATTTATAGCTCCTCTGCACTGTTGCCCATAGTTACATCCTGCACTTACAGGTAAACCCGCAACTCTCTAACTCCATAAGGGAAGGAAATCAACAGTATGAAGTAAAGTATGAAAACAATTCTGCACTTACTGACCTGCACTTGGTTATATCTTCAGAATAGTTGCTTTAAAATACAAGTTGTTGAAGTTTGATTTAAAAATCCCTGTCAGTTTTGACATTCAGGTGAAAGTATTGCTGCTGGCTCCAGAATAATTTGCATATCTTATCACTAAATAAAATGTCTGAGGTGTGTACCAATCTGATGAAATTATAAACAAGAGTCCACACAAGCACACATCTTCCTGTTTGATTTCTGTCCTCTTCACTCCTCTATAATAAATTGTAAGATCATCTCATTCTAGATGGAGGTTTAACTGTGCATGTAAAAAGGAAAATGAAAGCAGCCTATTCTTTTTCACACTTTACAGCTGAGAACCTGACAAAATTGTGGATTTTGTGAACAAGCAGAAAAGCTTAGTTTGTTACAATCTACTTCCTCTTTAACTGCCACACAAATGGTAGAAAATCCAATACATTTATATATCTTTAAAAAGTTTTCCACACTCAACACAAACTCATACATAAAGCTACACCTCTTTTACTGCTGTGACTAATATACATGCTTAGCTTTATGTCCTGCAATTAATCTCATCTACTTCAATAAGATTACTCATAATGCTGTAAGTGAAATACATGTGTAAATCCTTGCAGAGTCATGGCCTGAGTTGTCAACAGCATTACATGGAACAATTAAATGCCCAGGCCTAGAATGGCTCTTCAGAAAGATTAGAAGAAATCTTTAGGCATAAGAGGTAACAAAAATCTATTCCAGGGAGAGGCTATGGGAGGAACAGTATTCAGGGGATTGTCCTCCCTTGGGAAATTTACCATCACCAAATTAGTCCAGTAATACTATATTCACTTTTTTCATTGACTGATTATCACCTTCTCTCACCACTCCTTTCTTATTCTCCATCACATCTTGCTACAGCTGCTTTGTGCCATAAGAGACAGGATATACATTTTCATTCTTTTGTGCAGTAACGTAGGGTTAGAGAACAGTCTGGTCCTCATTTTGACTAGCTCAGTAATAAACAGTTCACATGCTAATTTTAACTGAGCTGGATGCACAGTTGAACAAATGCACCAACCCTCCTTCTTAACCTATTACTGAATTGTTCTAGTCTCTCAACCCTCTCAGTGCAGATTACTCGCCCAGTATACTCTATGGACAATCTTTAATCTGTACTTTCTTTATTTGAGTTCATTACAAGAAGCTGCTGATGAAAACAAATACTAATTCAATACCCAAACTGTTTAGTTCCACCTACTGACAAGTAGCTTGCCACCTAGTTTGCTCTGTAAATATTCAGAAGTTCTACACAAAGTTACTCTGTACATTATTTAGTGTTTGACTAAAAATCATGGCTTCAACACACACTTCTGCTCAACAAAGTCAATCCCTTAAAAGTTCAAATGAGTATTTGTCACAAACATTTCACCTCTACTAATGAACTGCATGAACAAATGATAGAAAATGCAAAGCTGTATTATGCTTAGCAGTTAACATTTTAATAAGAAGGAGATTAGCAATTTTTAATACCTCCAGTGCTTTGTTATATACAGTAGCACAATAACTGAATATTTTAATTGCTAATTATTTAGACCTCATTCAGTTCTCAGTCAGGCAAAACTCCCATTGAGGGATTCTTGCCTGAGAAAAGAGCTACAGGATTTGTCTTAGTGTAATTTGAAAAAACTTCATATATCATAAAAACTATCAAGTTATAGTGAGACAAAAAAATCATTAAATCCTTAGCAATATTAAACTGTACTGAAAGTCCCACTGACTCCCAATGCCAATGTTTTTATATTAAGTAAAACAGATAATTGCAGTTTACCAATTGTTACTTACCTGCATAATTTAGGCCCAGATATGCTGGTGCACTTAACGAGATCTAATAATATTTTGAGTCTTGTTATTGTACCCCTGCTTTTTTCCTACGGGAAATCTCAGTTCAAACGTGATAGGGAAATAGCATTTCCAAACAATTGCACTATCAACATCTTCAGAACACCAAACAAGTAGCATTTAATTTTACCTTTTGACTTCGGACTCCAAAAGGGTTAAGAGCAGCTCTCAACACTTCTTTTTTATGCTGCTGTAAAAAAAAAAGAAACTTATTAAAGCTTATGTTTCAAGATTTGCACACAAAACACCTTGAGTTTTCATAACAGTCAAGTAACTAGGAGTCAGTGGGGGAAGTGAGCGGAATATTGTGTATATATATCAACACACAACTACCTGAAGGAAACAAAGCAGTCTTACACATTCACATTTAGCACACAGGTGATGAACAAATAAATTAAATGTGCTAGCACACAATTGGTCACATTCTGTGCATACTTCAGAGAGAAAACTTACACAACTGAACACCAATCTAGTAGGGACCAACTCATATGACTTCATGCTTAAAAAGACACCACTTATTTTTTTCCATTAAGTGTAGTTTTACTCCAGCTAGGGCTAAAAACAATTGGGTGCCACAAGCAAAGTTTTGCCACTTGTTTTATGTTCAAATGCATTTGTGGAAAAAGTTACAAGTAAATACTCTAAAAGTTCAAGAGTTTAAAGTGGTTCTTTTATTTTTCTTAAAAAAAGAAATGTGTATGATATCCTTCCATCTGTCGTAGCTATAATTGGCCTTAGAGACTAAAATGATCAGAAAATCTCTCTATAGACTGCTTTCTGAGAAAGAATTAAAAGCAGACTTAGTACTATATAACACTAATTGACAAAGTGTTCAGAACTGGATACCAAACAGGAGTATTCTGATGTCAGAAATTAGACTTGGGCACTCCACTTCCACCAGTTCAGAATAAGGCCTAAGGACCTAACCAGCATAATTTCCAAATCCTGTTATAAGAGGCTCACTCAGATTACAATTCCCAAGCCCAGTCCAGCCAGGCTTCGTGCTTTCTCACAGGAGCAGCAAGATCTATTCATCACCCCTAAGTACTGAACTTCCACCTAAGAACCCATGGCCAACCTAATTACCAGCTCAACCACGACAGAAATGGGCTAACTAAGCTTACTGGTATTCCATAATCCTTCACTGGTGAGCAGTTTTCAAAGCTACACACAGAGACATTTTAATCACTGAGATTTTGCCCCCCTTTGTCACACTACAGAACTGATTCAACAGCAATTATTTGCCATAAACTTGTTTCCCCAGATCTCAGATGATTTGCTGTATTAATGGACATGTGATCTACTACCTGCTAAAAGTAAACTGCTACGGAAAAGAACTGCTCTTTGAAGCAACCTAGTTTGTAAGGAAGGAGAGGATGTAAAGCATTGCTTACTCAAAGTGAAGATGATGCAGGCTTTCCAGTTCATCATTTCCAGGCCTGACTTCCCACCACTCTCTTGCTACTACAGAGGTGCTTCTGTTTCCTTCCTGCTTTCACACTCACAACTTCGCATACCTGCAGCCTTCCCTTTGTTTTCTGGGAGCTTTCTACCTCCAATCATAACAAACCATGCCCTAAGCTCATCACTTGAAGACACTTCCCCAGCCTACATGGGTCAGTCATCAGCATCCTCAGCATCAGCTGCTGTATGGAGTCTTTCACTGTTTTCAGGGAAGATTTATTTTGCTCGAACTAAGGCTGTGCAGCATGTGCTTTAGCTTTCATAATGTCTGTCACCGCCTGAACAGACACACTGGATGGCAGCTGGTAGCACTTTCCAACATCACACAACCACAATCTCTAATCATCTGACAGTTCTGCACTGACAATGAATAAAGCAAAACAGAAGGCCTAAAATATTGAGTAATGAAGATCAGATTTTGACCTTTAGATGCTGTTAGATGTGTTGCACGAGGGTCTGTTTGGTTTAAGTGATACTAGCAGGTATGAAACTGTGCTGTTTGCTTTGTTGTCTAACTCATCTAACAACTGAAGCGCTCTGCACTGGCTGGCAAACTATGTGCCGCAGTGAGAGATGGCTTGGATCTCTCTACAGTATGCTGGGTGAGCCCAGGAAGAATGCATTATGCTAGGGAATTCAAAATAGATGAAAAGCAGGAAAAGCATAGGAAAATTGGTCACAAGGGGAAGGAAAATCTTTATTTTAAACTCATTGATCAGTTGGGCCTGCAGCAATATTTAGATAATATCTCTTCAATCTCTGTGAAATCAAAAGTCTCAGGTCTTCTCCGGTCTATAGCAATTTCAAATTTTGTACAACCATGACAAACACCTATTCTTTTCTTAGTTAAAATTCTTGCCAGAAAATGCTACACAGAAGTCAGTGTAACTGTTATGTTATCTTGATTTTCACTATTTTTAATTAATCCTTTCCAAATTTCTGTATGTCTGAGTTTAGTAAGTGATAACATTTCTGCCACATAGTTTTTAAAACTACTTTTATATGAGATTTAAGTATTTAAGTTAATCAAGACTTACACTTGAGGTAGTCATTTGTTGGACTAATATGCTAACAGAGCATATCATATCTAAAATTACAAGCTGTTCATTTTGTTTTAAATTCCAATCTCCATGTTTACATTTAATGGTTTCAGTTGGAGCAACGGCTTATTGGTGACTCAAATTATTTCAGATAATACCCTCTAAATCTGACATCATGAAAAACTATGCACACAGTTCAGGAAATAAACTTCAGCTCCACTGGAAATATAAGCCTTATTCATCAAGCAAAAGTGAATATTCTGCAGCACGGGTTTAGGACGGTCTTACTGGCCTCAAGGTCACAAAATATATCACAATCCTCAGTCTTGAGATAGTTTTCTAAAAAAATGCGTTTTCAAGGATGAAGTATATTAGTAAGAGATATACCATAAAGATTAGAAATACAGAAATGTACAACAAACAGTTCTAAATTAGAAATGCTTCTTCCACTATGCCAGTTGCTTCTACAGTAACAACATTACATAAATGCTGGCAGGAAAGAACCATATATATTTGTCCATTTCTTTATGATAATACCATATGAGGAGCATGGCCTTTTGACTTTGCTGTGAATGAAAAAAATCCTATTCAGCAAATTATCAACAAATTAAGTAAAACTAAGATAAATACATTCCATTCAGTAATATGTAAAGTATGCATAAATTTTATTTACATTTCTCTTGCTTACAGAGCTTTCCCCAAGGGGATAGAAGATACAGGATGACAATTGTACAAGAATCTTCTCTTTTTAAGGCTCTATATACAAACAGTAACATTCAAAGAATAAGATAAATTATATTAGCATTATTCCAATTCAATTCTTCCCAAACACAGTCATCATATATGCAAACTAAACTCTGGTAGCACGTAGATGAAAGGAATCACTGTTGATTAATGCTAAGAATATAGCAGCCAAAAGAATTTCAAACAATGATTCACTGTGAGACTACCAGTAAATCTCTTGGTCTTTTTAGGTTCAGTCAACCCGGCAATGAACATAGGGTAAAGAATGCCCTTAACAAAATGGACAATGCATCACAGCAATGCTCTCTTCGAAAAAAGACTCATATGAATGTACTGCTTATGAAAAAAGCTAATCTGCCAAGCTTGGAGTTTCAACTCTTCTCATTTCTAGGACAGTTCTGCAAGCAGCAGAAGATTCACTGACACAGGCTTATTGCTGTCCCCCTGCCTTGAACTGAGGGACTGTAGAGAGATTTTGTGGATTGTTCAGTCTCTTCCATTGGACTTACAACCACCAACCAATTATTATTGACTGTAGTAAAGTCTTTTGTGATATGGACTTTTGTCTACTGAGAACTAGACTTGAAATCCCTATAACTTGTTTCGCTACACAAGCTTGTTTGTCTGGAGGGAAAAAGATAAATCAAATGACCAGCATTAAACTTCCATCATAAAGATAGAGTCTAGAAAATTTCTACATGAAAAGTGCCAAAAACAGATCACTGACTGGATCTGTGACTATAAAATAAACTTGATAAGAACTGGCTTTTTGGCAGTGATGAGTTTTAAAGAATAATACTCAGTTTACAGTCCCACTGTTAATGCAGGATAAAGTCTTCTCAAAAACAACAAGTTCTCTGTGCACTTCTAAATTCTATTTAAAGAGAAATATTTGCCAACATTTACCTACACAGAAGACTTAGATTAACTGTCCAGCCCAAGAACAAAATGACCCTTGAAGGCAATTAATGCAATGGAGGAAGGGAAGTAGTAGAGCATTCTGTAACACTGTCTCCCAGCTTAACCTCCTCTTAACTGTATTTAATTCAACTTAAACAGACAACATTGCCTGGCACATGAGAGACAAATGTTATTTTTTTTAATACTGGTGGTACTAGTAACTAGCATATATAATTCTTCAGAAGGAAATACCAACGCAGACAGTGAATTAAAACATGCCATGGTAACAGATGAAGATTTCAGTTGTCAACAAAATCAGGCTATTAATTCTCACATAAACAGTCTTTCTTCATCTTTGATTTTTAATATGTAGACCAAAGATCACTCTCACATTTCAGCAGCTTTTGTCTTTTAATGCCAATCATTTCAACGGACTTTTCTTATACCCTGTGCTTTCTCTCACCCTTGGGAAAGGGGAGTGAAAATATCAAATGGTATCTTACACTGCCAAGACCAGAGAAACACTTCAAACATTCCAAAAATTAGGCGATGACTTTGCTTAAGGTGGGGAGGGAATGTTATCAACAGTGGGGTGAATTCTTGCCTAGCAGCAGGAAAAAAAAAAGAAACCCAAACCTTATTCTGTTTCAATCTATGCTAAGGTCTGGGCTATGTAGACAGCAACAGAGAACTACTGTGTGTAAAACAGTAATTTGGTTGCTAATCATGTTTTCTTGTTATTGTTTACTTCACCACCACCCCCAAGAAACAGACAAGAGGTTCAAGAGAAAAGTGGGAAATTACTGGCCTGATCGTGACCACTGAAAGCAAAGATGCTCTGACAGATGCACTCAATTGAACTATCACCTGCCACAGGATGCAGTCCCACAAAGAACAGTTCTAAATATATTTGTGAGAGAAACTCACACTGCTGCTGGCCTCTCCATACCTACTCAAATGGCAAAGATGATTTCAGACTTCAGAGCTGTCAGCTTAGCACTTCTCACCAGAATGTAACTAATTCACAATTCAAGAAAACAGA